TTCAACAAAACCAGACTGATATCTATCAACGTCTAACAGTGAACGATGGACAGATCTTAAACTTAACACAACAGGTGAGTTTTATTTTCATAATTCATGATACCAGACTATTAGAGTACATAATTACTATGATGACTAATTGATTACATTAAAATGGATTTTCATTTGTTGTACAGTTTACAAAGAGTGTTAAATATATTATATTTTATATTTTATTACATGCCAATCATGCCATTTCAACTTTGAAGATATTTTTAATTTCATATTGTTTCATTTAAATTTTAGGTTGCTGATTTGGGTTTGAGGTTATCATTAGTTGAGAAAAAAATCAATGAAAACACGGACCTTTTATCTAATCCAGATGCCACAAAAGATCCATCTATAAAAGTCCTATCATCAGAAGTTGCAAAACTCGGTAGTACTTATCAAGACTTAAGTGGCAGTGTAAAATCGCTCAAAGATACTACTAGTTCATTACAATCATACCAAACTATATTGAAAGCAAATGTTTCTTCAATAAGTGTATGCCACAACTAATGTTTTTAATATGTTTGAATAAAATTATTTATACATTTTATTATTTTTATCAAATAGGAGAAATTAAATAATGTTGGAAATATTAAAACTGATGAAACTATGATTAATAATGTATCTGGAAAGTTACATGAGCTAATTGAAAATATAAGTTTTAATGTCACAACCTTGAACCGAACACTTACCAGCCGAATCAATTGGTTATCTGGAGATCAAAAAACCAACGGGGTAAGAAATTATGAGTAATTGAAGTAACTAATTAATTGAAATACTGTTATGAAGATGATTTTTTATATCTTTGATTACTATTTTTTAAGATTATATTATAATCTTTGATTGGTTTAATATATTACATCTTTAATATATTTTATAGGTAGAAATAGAAAAATTAAAAGAGGACAGTCAGAAATTAATCGCTCAAGTAAAAACAATTGATACTAAATTAACGACATCATTTAATGAAATGAACTCAAAAGTAAAGAATTAAATATTAATAATGAACTATTAAAATAATATAATTTTTAATATATTGTAGGTTATATCTTTAAGAACTCAAATTGACAAGATTGCAACTAATGTTACCAGTTTACATGCTCAATCAAATTTTGATAACTCTTTAATGAGTTCAAGTCAATTAAAAGGTAAAATTTTAAATTTTCCATATGCCCTTATTTTAGCATGATATATTTGACATGTACATTTATTATATGTATAATATGTTAATATTACAATTTTAGATATGAGGAAAAATGCAAGATAAAATTTTGCCATCCCAATAACTTGATAATTTTTTTTAAAATAAACTAATATCTTATATAGCAGAATCTGATGTAAAACTATAAAAATAGGCTCTCAAATTTATGCTATGCAAACCTTCAAAAAAGAATACTTTATGAATACCAATACACATAATTCTAAATCCTACATTTCTGGAAGTTAAATTAACATATATAAATTAATTTATTCTGATAAATCATTGTGTAATCAGTGTAATCATGATTGATGTGTTTTGATTAAAATATTAGTCTATGGTATTATATCAAAGTATCAAATTTTCCGAATATTTACATTAAAATTATGTTAACACCACTATTTTTAAATAAGTTGTTGCTATCCTAAAAGTTATTTTTTGCTAAATTGATATCAAGTATTAATTATTTCAATGGTCTTGGTTTTAAATTTGTAACATTTTGACTTATTTAATATCATAAAAATACAATTCTGCAGTAATCATCATAGGCAAAACTAGACATTTTTATTAGGTCAGGCCAAATAAAATATATATAAAAAAATATGTGCCCAAATAATTATTAAAATATATAATATACATTATAAAAATTTTCAGCCAGTATTAGGTCAGGCCATGGCCTGACTGGCCTGACCCGTAGTTTCGCCTATGGTAATCATTATCAATTTTTTGACTCCTTTTTCATATAATTTCTAATTTTTTTTCATTAAACTATAATGAGTAAAACATTTGTAAAAGTTAACATGTAGCTGAAATAGATATACAACTAAAAAAATCAACTAATAATACTTTGAGAATACCAAGATGCAATAGACATAATCCTTAATACTTAGAAGTGAAGCTACTACATTGACTAAATGTAAATAAATATATTATAATCAATTATTTTCTAATAAATTCATGATTGATTATTATGATGAATTCATGTAATGTAAATGTATTGAACTCATTAGTTATTGCATTTAAATGTTTACACATGTGTTACTTAATGAGTTTTTTGTAATCTACAGATTAGGTTGAAAAAGCTACTGCTTACTAGTATAAAAAAGTAATTACATTTTTGTGTTTACCAACCTTCTATTTTGAAAGACGCATCAAATAAGATTCCAGGGTTTCATAATCACTGTAATGGTCTAATTAATAACTTACATACCTAATATTATTCAAAATGTTAAATTATATCAGTATTAATAGAACTTGATCATAAATTTATATATACAATTTACTTATTTTACTAATAATCTAACATAATATGCCTCTAAGTATATTTATTAGTGAGGTTTATAAAAATCAATTAATATGAAGTATTATTATTTTGTTTTTAGGTGATAAAAATGGAACTCAGACAAAATCCTAATATTAGTATTTTTTATTTTATTTTATGTGCACAATGCTGTTGAATAATTTTGTTTTTTTTTTCTTGAAATAATAGTTTAAATGTTTACGTTTATGAGTTATGAGTTTTGTTTTTGGTATGAATATGTTTAGTTTATTATAATAATAATAATAAAAAAATGTATCTATAAATAATTTGTTTGATATATTAAATGGACTGTTTGGTAGTAATGTTTTAAATTCCTATTAAATATTAAAATCAAATTTGGTTTAAAAAATTCATTTTAACTGAGACATAATGATAATTATGAACTTAAACACCTTACATTTAAGAGCAGTACTATATTTTTTTTTTTTTTTTTTTAATGTTGTACTTTTTTTTCTAGTTTGTACTGCAAAAAAAAAAAAATATTTTTCTATATTCATTGAAATTAATTTTGTCTACAATTATGAACTTAAATTATTGTTTTATAAACAAGTAAAATTACATTGTGGTAAGCTGTAACATAAATTTAAATGTACAATGTATACTTTATATAGATACAGTTGTTATAGCTGCAATAAATTATTTTAACCATATAATAATTTCAAAGAACTTATTAACATTTTATTAAAACTATAAAATATATATTACAGTATCTAATTTATAATATTAATCATTAAGCTAATTGTTTTTTTTTTCAATTATATGATATGTTATTATATAAATTATTATACCAGAATATTATAAAAACAAGAAATGATGTGTAATATTTGTATTAAGTTTTAAAATTTAAAACTGTTGGAATACATAATCTGTGCAATATATTTAAAATTGTAATGATATGCTCACACATCATTGTATATTACATATTCATAAAATTCAAACAAATATTAACAGTTAAGTTGTCGCACGTAGATTAAAACCCCATAAACATCCTTTCACCACTGATGAAAGAAACGACTTATATTATATGGTCACAAAGGAATTGTCACATGATTTGTGGCAATGTGTTGCAAAGCGTGTGACCCAGTTTTGTGTGCCGCGAGAGCAAGGAATGGTTTAATGAGGGTCTCTGTCGCCTAGGAGAAATTCTATTTCTTTAGAAAACGTGGAGACCTACGATGGTGCCACCTGCGACTCTGGCCGGCTTAGCTAGGTCGCCTTCTCTCATCGGTGCATGAACACCGACTAAGTAATGAGTGCAGGCGCACCAGACAAGCGAGCAGGAGCTCTTCCCAAAACTACCTCACGGCATATACACAAGATTCTGCGAGCGACAGCTGGACTTCTTTTTTATAAGTCAAATCAGTGTTGCTTTATTTAAATTTAAGTTTTTCTTAAGTCATTTCGTAACTTATGTCACCTTACATCTTTCTCTGGGGAACATACTATAAGTATTCACTGCGACGAATCAGGTAAGGTGCATGTCTATAATACTTATTGTTAGTACAGGTCCCTTTACTATCTAATTTGCGTAACAGTGTGTTTGGTTACATTCTCGAATACAAGACCTCGAGAATCCTCCAAAGAACAGGAGAAAGGTAATAATACGAGAACAAGTATATTTAGTAATTATTAACACCAGAATTATATCCAAAGCTTGTGTCCCTTGTGTTTCTCAGGCCTCATCAAACCTCTACTTTTTATCATATTTTTAACCGTATTATTTATTAGTTTATTTTATCTTATATTTTCTCGTTATTACACGATGTTGAGCTTTTATTAGCAAACATTGTTTAGGCATGTATTCAACATTAATATTTAATCATATATTCATATGTGATATTGCATATGTAGTTGTGTTTAGTTAAGTTAAAAAAAAAATAGTTTGATTACATGCTTACACATTTACCTCATTGTTTATTATCATAAAATGTGTTAAAATATTAATCAATATCCAATCAATATTAAATGATATATGATTCATAAAAAATAATAATAATAATAAGATAGGTATTCAATATTTTTAAACAACTGAATTTATTTTAAGTTGTTTATTATAAAACATATGTAATTAAATTATTACATTCAATGATTATGAATCGTCATAGGAGATCACGTCTAATTATTTAAAATTCAAATAAATAATTTTTTACAAATTTAAAATGCAATAATATATATCATATCAGATTATATTATATACTTTTCAATGATTATTAGAATAAAATATGAAAAAAAAAACAATTTCAAGCTAACGGTGCCCAATCAGTATAATGATCATTTAATTGATTAAAAATATTTGGTTTCTGATATAGTTTATTAAATGTTTTGTGTTTAATATTTGGTAAAAAAAATAATATGAGATCGAAAATTTCTTTCTGCTTCTAGATATATTTCCATAGCAAAGCGTTGTTTCAATATTTTTCTTTTAAGAGTTTAAAATTGGATTTGAACAATCAATCAAAAATGGGTGACTACCTCACAAGTTATTTTATTTTTATTTTTTTCAACACAAAACCAGTATTGTAACTTGTTACCTTATCTAAAAATGGTGTTAGTCTATTTGAAGATTTTACATAATCATGATCTTGTTCAACTGTATTTTTTATCTTCAAGTGAGCAGATGCACTGTCAGTTAAAAATAGTTTTTGGTGTAATTTTTGAACAAGATTATCATAAGTAGTGAGTTTTTCTTTCAGTCTTTTTATTTGTTTTTTCAGATTTGCATTTTGAATTTGTTTTTCTCTATATTTGTTCTTCACCATGTCCAAATTTTTCTTTGCCTCTCTCGGAGTCTTAAAATTACTTGGAGTTAAAATTCCAATTGAGTTTGCATTAAACACTTTACGCTTCATTGGACTTTGACAAGGGTTAGACGTACCGTGATAGTCCACTGGTTCAATATCTTAAATAATATTAATACATTTAGACTGTTATGTTATGTATGAAAATAATGTTAGATAATAAATAAATGTATGCAAACCTGTATTTGTAGAAACTATGGGTTCAACACACAAGCGTTTCATAGGAGTTGGAGAATGACTTGAAGTATCATGGTAGGTCAAAGGTTTAATAACTAAGATTAAATAATTGAATTTATAAATTTGGACTGAAATGTTATGTAAGCAAAAAACGTTTTGTAATATATTGATACATACTTGTACTTTTAGATGCTAGGAATGGAACAGCATTCTTCTTGAGATACCCACTTGGTAAGTAATTTTCTGGTAAAAAATGATCATTGCATATCTTGTATGATGGCAAATATAATTTTATATTACACGCCTTTAACCATAATTGTTTACGATTTTCATTTTTAGGAAAACTATAATAATATAACACCAAACATTTAACGCTAATATAACATTTTAATATTCTTTTATAAATTATTGTACTTACGAATGAAATGATTTCTCTGATCCCTTAATATACAATTTCTTACAAACAACACACATTCTTGTCATTTTTACAAATAAGAATAATTATATTATTAAAATAAAATGTAAATAGAAGAAACTAAATAACTTTAACGACAGGGGTGATGAATGATGGTATTGAATATTGATATTTATTTAATTATTTTGATGAAGATGATACTAATGATACTATTGAGTATTGATAATACGATATACGATAATAATTATATAGTATCACAGCGTCTATAAGCACAACCTGGTGGTATAAGGTCGGGCTTGGGGTACTTTTCCTGAAGTCTGTGATTGTAATCCATATATTTTTAAGGTGTAAAATGACGTAATAAGTTCATTATTGATAGTACTTATCTTTTATCATGAGTAAACAATCCAAGCATAAAAATTTAAAATGCACTAAAGCCAAGTCTCTCAATTCTCAAATGTAACAGACAGTCCGACCAGTCCGTGTACCTAGATACCAGCAGCTAGTGTGTACACATTCGTGCGTTATTAACAATTGTAATTTATATTTAAAGTATAACCGGTGTTATTAATATAAAATAATGATCATGTTGTAATTTAATATTATGTATTATTGTGTAAGCATTATCGCATTATTGTAAAAACTGTGAAACTTCAGTCTTTTAGTTAATTTTTTAATTATGCCGAAATGTTTTTGATAGAATGATATTGTTTTGTGATTGAATTACAGCAGTAAATAGCAATATGACTGCCAACAACGTGACGGCAGAAACCAGTCTCAATCAAATACTCGATGAAATAGCGGTAAATAATTTCATAGTTTTGTAATAGCATGTAACATATCATTACTGAGACTCAGTTTAAAGCCAATGGTTATTTTAGTATGTATAGATGTGCAGTTAAAAATGCCTGCAAAAATTGCATTGAAAATACTTATATATTTATATATATGAATATTGTGGTTTATGTATTTACATTTACACCTTATTATATATAAATTTTAAAATTATATTTCTATGAATAACTGTAGGTAAATAATAACTGAAGGTAATTTTTTTCATTTCAGAAAGTTGACGAATTAGTTGAAGCATTTAATGGATATATTCAAAAAGATTCTCTTAAGAATTGTGAACAAATCGATAAACTATTTATGATGCTTACGAATATAGTAATCCAGTTAAATGATGAACAATTAAGCATGAGTATTAAAGTTATACTAAAAATTGCTTCTACACAAACAGTTAGTGTGCGCCAAAAAGTTTTTCTTAATATGCTTCAAAAATTAGTTCAAAAACACGGTGTTTCTTCAAGGTAAAATAATGTTAATTGTTGAAAATTAGATTTAGATATTATGTATTTACTATTTTAATATTTTGATTGATATATGTAAAATGAACAAAATCTTTAAAATTAATACTGTATTCAATTAAATACTTAAAGTATAGAGATGTAAGTTGATTGTAAGTTAATCAAAAATTGCTAAATTATTGTTTATTGCGTTATTTTAGATAGATTTGTTATACTCTATTGATAATAAGATTTATATTTTGTTTTATTTACCATAGGTTGATGTGTGAATGTATAATTAATTCTGAATACCTGGTGTATACAAATTCTGAATTCTGGATAGAGTGTTTTCATATAATTAAAAGCATATTAGCCACAGTCGACTATAAAGGAGTTAGAGAAATATTAAAAGTAAATAAAATTTAAATTATGTTAAGTGATTGTATTAAATATAACCATGTATTTATTATTATTTAGGGCTGCTTTGACAAAGTGGTTGCAATGCCAAAAGCATTACCTGCATCTATATTGCCTCAGTTTCTTGCACTCGAAGAAGTCATTCGATATATATTTGATAGAGAGTCTTGTCTGCTTCCTGGTTATTTTGTTATTAATGAAATACTCAAAGTATACAGCGAAAACAAGAGATGGCCACATTGGGTAAATTATTGTCTATTATATTCAACAATTATGTTTGAGTTACTCATATAAATTATTTTTATTTTTAGAAATTGGGTTGTTTGGTATCAAATTTTGTGGAGAGCTTTCGTGGTGTTGCTCAAATGACATCAATGATTGGTCATTCTTCTATGTTACCTGTAGTAGAACACTCTGGTTATGGTGATCACATGATTACTCCATGGAAATTAGATCCAAATACATTAAAACTGACTTTAAAAGGGAATATACCATACCCTAAACAACTATTGCAACCACAAACAAAATTATTAAGATATGTACTTGAACAACCTTATTCTAGAGATATGGTTTGCTCCATGCTTGGTCTACAAAAAATGGTAAATCATTAAAATCATATTTGCTATATTTAGTAAATAATTTAATGGTTTTTAAAATATATTTTTATTTTATAATATAACAAAGTATTTAATATTTTGAATAGTCAAATATTGAATTTTGTTCAGAATTAATTATTATTATTATTTATTGACTATTTGAAAAATAAAAATAATTAAATTATAAAAAATTAATGATAGTGGTCTAATGAAATCATTAGTACATTTTGGACAAATGAAATCCATCAATTTTGATTTTATTAGATATATGTATGGAACATTTTCAATCTTATTCAAATCATTTAATCATCCATATTACAGTAGTAATAATGTAATATAAAATTTAAGATTATTTTATTCTTAATAATAAATAGCTTTCAAGTCTAATATTGTACAGACAGTAATCATAAATTAGGAAAACTTTTATGTCAACTATGTTATGTCTTTCATCCTAATATACTTTTATTTGATATATAAATCTTTTTAGAATAAACAAAGATGTATTGTATTGGAAGAGCAGTTGGTAGAATTAATAATTAGATCAATGGAAAAAAGTGATAAAGAAGTAACTGAAGGTGCAGATCCGGAAGAAACCCATTGGCTATGGTTACATATTTCAAGTCAATTAATCTATTTTATATTATTCCAATTTGCTGTGTTTCCAAATATTGTTAATGCTCTTCATGAAAAAGTATGAAAATATTTGTTCTTTCTGTTTTAATTTTATCCCATGTAGTTTTCTTTGGCTAATAATTTTAAATTTTAATTATAGTTATTAAAAAAAGATTTACACAGATCAAGGGATCGTTTGATGTGGGTACTTCTACAATACATATCAGGAAGTATTCAACGAAATTCAGTAAGTATTTATTATTTTAAATACTCAAAATATAGAATATTAATATAAACCTACATGAATCATTTTATTTATTTAGCTTGAAAATATTTTGCCTGTATTGAAACTGTATGACTTATTGTATCCTGAAAAAGAACCTTTACCTGTTCCTGATACTAGTAATGCACTTTGCACACGTCAAATGGCCGTTACTTGCATTTGGATTCATTTATTACGTAAAGCTCTGATGGAGAATATTAAATTCCATAGACCAATACCATTAGCTTTGAAAGCACATCATGAGTAAGACGATTTAGTGAAATTATGTTGTTAACATTTTGATTATATTATTTTATTTTGTCCAGTTATTTGCAGATGCTAGTACAGCCTTCAAATAGTGTTTTATGTATGGGTACTGATTATCGTGTACCATTATTGTGTAATGCATTTTCTACAAATAATGAATGTTTATCCCGTCCAATGGCGGCTCTTGTAGATGCCGTGTTAGGGAGTAGTAGTAATCGAGGTATATCCGGTGTAACATCCAACACACAGCAATCAACACAATCGCCAGTAATTACACCTGCAGTAGGTGGTACATCTCCAGTAGCTTCGGTACCAGGTTCTGGTGGTACTACTAGTCCAATTAGTGGGAATGCCTCTTCTAATGCTATGGGTCCAACTACTCCACTCAGTATGGCTGTTTTAGATTCATTGACAATTCATGCAAAAATGAGTTTAATTCATAGTATAGTGACTCATGTACTGAAATTGGCGCAGTCTAAATCTAATTTAGCACTGGCACCTGCGCTTGCAGAAACATACAGTAGACTTTTAGTTTACACTGAAATAGAATCATTAGGAATCAAAGGATTTATAAGTAAGTAATAAAATAATAGAGATAAATTAAGTAATAATTAATAATACATTATCAAATAATCAGCTATTTATTATAGTGTTAAATGGTAATTGTTCACAATATTTAAATAGTTTAAATATCTTTAAATTAACTTCTTCCCTACTAACCTGTGAAGCAATTTTTATAAAATATAAAATACGCTTCTCAAAAAAAAAAAAAAAAAAAACCAGTATAATATTATGTTATAAATGTTATAATTATAATGATTTCATTATTTTTGTTAAATGTTTATTGCAGGCCAAGTATTACCTACTGTTTTTAAGTCGCATGCATGGGGAATTCTATACACTTTATTAGAGATGTTCAGTTATAGAATGCATCATATTCAACCACATTATAGAGTTCAGCTTCTTTCTCATTTACACAGTTTAGCTGCAGTACCTCAAACTAATCAAACTCAACTCCATTTATGGTAAGAGTGTTTACTAGTTATTAAGTATATATACATGTGTATAATAATGTGTTATATGTTTATGTTTAGCGTGGAAAGCACTGCATTGAGACTGATTACTGGCCTTGGGAGCAATGAAGTGCAACCACAATTCTCTCGATTTTTAAGTGAACCTAAAACTTTAGTATCAGCTGAATGTGAAGAACTCAACCGTGCACTTGTCTTAACATTAGCAAGATCCATGCATATCACGGGCACGTCAGCTAGCCAAGAAGGGTCTTGGTGCAAAGAGTTATTGACTACAATAATGGCCAATACACCACATACTTGGGCTCCACATACATTACAATGTTTTCCTCCTGCACTTGCAGATTTTTTTGTCCATAATCCAATTACTAAAGAAAACAAACAACAGCTAAAAGTATGTCAATTCAAATTATTGTAAACTGTGAAAACATAAAAATAAATATTTATTTTTAGAAAGCAGTTGAAGAAGAGTATCGAAATTGGGCATCAATGACTAATGAAAATGATATTATTGCACATTTTTCTGTACCTACTGCTCATCCATTGTTCTTATGTCTTCTATGGAAAATGATAATAGAGACTGACAGAATCAATCCAATTGCATATAAGTGAGTATGATGAAATAAATATTTTTAGTTTAAATTTTAAACTTTAAAATTTTTATGCCTACAATAAATAATACTAATATTGCTATCTATTTGTAAAATTG